CCACTCCGTGGACACAATTTCGAGAGGAGCCTTCAGGGGTGTCCTGCCCCTTGCTTACCAGTCACGATATGCTCGCTCATCGTACATTTCGGTATGAAGGCATTGCCATTGCATCCTTACGTTTCGCCTGTGACAACTTTGGGTGCTCTCCTTGGTTATTGGGGGTGGTGGAGTGAGAGTACTCACCGCCCTGATGATGGAGGCAGTAAGCACCTCTGAAACGTCTGTGAACTTCTAGCGCATTACACAGTTTAACATCCCAGAAGACATCCACCTTCAAGATGAAAGGTCGTCGAACTTCGAAAAAGGCAGGAATGATCCATTATCATATTTCTGATTCTTTGCTGCAACTGCTACTGTGTTCTTCAGAGCCGCTTCCAATCAAAGTGACAAGTCGTGGGCACACTGAGAGTAAAATTACATGCGTCGGGATTGGCATTTTCTTTATTCTCAGAGTGAGTTTCAAGAGCCCTCAGTACGGGAAGGGGTGAACAAATTCCATATGTGCCTCTCAACATCTCGTTTGGTCGACTCTCATGATCATCTACACTAATATCACCCATCGCACGTCACACTCCTCTCGAGATATTGGTCTCAAATCGCGGTCATGAGACGACAGAAATGAGGAATTACATTGGATATAAAATGATATAAAACAATGCCCAGTTACAAGCATTATGAAATATAGGAAACTTTTAAGAAATGGAAAGGTCACGAAGTCAGGTGACGCAGGTGGCCAAAGAAAGTGTGCTCATAGGGTTTTAAATCCGAAGCTCGTTGTCCATGTCGGGCTTATGAATTATGATGCCTCGTGTGCTTTCAGGTTGATACCAACGTTTCGTAGGGATATACCGCCTCCATCTTCAGGGCTCTGATATTTAAAATTAGTTTCTGAGGAGACGTGAGAAGCAAAGGTATGCGTACGACTCGTAGACCAGCAATTTCCTTCTTTCTTCATCTCCTTGTGATTCTGATTTCTTTTTCGTCTTCCTCCCACCGCAGAATTCCTCACGTTGCAGTTAACAGGACCGAACTAACCTCGTTTCTTCTCATGAACAACAAAACAGGTGAGCGCTGTCGTTCAGCCCTCCCCTGGATCGCAATTACAGCCAGAATGTGAGTGAATGAATGTCGTGACATCTGGCTGCAGCTCCCGGTATGTTGATACGTGGACATCGCAAGGACTGCCACATGTTTACGTCGTGTGATTTGTGACGGAGTCGAGTGGACACTTAATGATTCTGTCATTCATTATATTCTTACATTATTACTAACCTTGGGGGACTTGGGCTTCTCGCGGGCGTGGACGTAGCTGTCTTCTGGTCTATGTCAACCTGCATTGCAGAGGATCCTACTGCCTCCATTATCAGGTCTACCAGACCATGCGGTGGAAGAAACATTTTTGTAATAGTAAACACAGGTGTAACTAAATACGTGGCATGACAAGAGCCAAAATTCGGTACCAGTCTCAAAGGCCGCTTGGTTCGATGAAGATGTGGAGGATATTATTAAAATGTTGTAAGAATGTAATCTACATTTAGTTGGCTCATGATTGCGCCCAACTGCCGGGCTTTTGTGTTAGCCGCGTTAACATTCATCTACTATTACGAGAAGGTTAGTTTTGAAGTCATTTATTTGTTTTCACACGCCCGGTGGGAACTTTGCTTCGGGCAATTTCACCGTCTTATCGGCAAAGCGTAAATTTTCTTTGCGACCATGGCAGAACGTGAGAGGGGACGAGAAGTCTGGGGCATCAGAGGGGCCCAACAGTCCAATTAAGATGTTTTCTGTGGATTGGATGACATTTCTGTTTTTATCAGCTCTCAAAGTAAACCTGGCAATAAAACGCAACAAATGCATTTAGCGGTTATCATAACCGTGGAATAAAACCAGATGATGAGGAAGCCTCTGGATGGTTATTACCATGTTTTTAGCTTCTAATCGCACAGATGTAGCTAATTGAAGCTTTAAATAAGAATAAAAACAACAAACTTTTGCTTCATCTCGACTCGCTTATTTCAGAAAGTAAACAATGTTGTTATAATATAATTCTTACGAGATGAAGATTTCACGTCTCTGAAAATATGTACCGTTTTTCGGGTTGTGAAGATGTGTAATGTTATAAGTGGTGTACCAACATTTCAGAGGAACTGGCCGCCTCCATCCTCAGAATGCACGACGTCACTACTCAAGACCAGATCGTCAGTACGCTGTATGTAATTGTCCGTGCGCATGTCGATAGTGGTTTTTTTTTCCCGTCACCGTTTTAAAGAAACAGAAGCCGAGCGTAGAGCAATATTCCAAAATTTCTTTCCTCTAAAACGAAATGTTGGAAATTCATCAATACTTGTACATCATGCATTAAGCTTAAAATATTTACGTTTGTGACCTTTCAGAAGTTCTGTGTGAAACTGTTTCATGGTTGATACCGGAAAATTAATGTAAATTATTCTTTAAGTCAGTTCTACACTTTAAAAATCCCATAATTCTTTACGGGCTATTAAGTCGTAACGTTCAGAATAGTTAAACATGGTTTCCGCCATGTCTACAGTGAACTAATTAATTGGTTCAAATTTGAGGAGGGAGAGGCAAAGGAAAATTGAAGATGAGTCAATTAAAAGTTCTAACAAACGGTCCACACCAGACTCATAACTCAACGGCTGAAGCATACTAATATATGTACAGACAAGTTTCTTGTAGCGACTGGGTATTAAATCTGTCCTGTGCAGGATAGCTAAGAGGGATCCATTTCACATATCAAATTCACGTTAAAATGCATGGATCGCTGTTACATAATCTAATAGTATAAGCGTAAGACTTGTGGGATTGTGATGTCACTGCACAATAAACACCACTAATTTCCAAAGATTTTATTATTGTTTCCTGTACACGGGTTTCTTTGTTCAATAAAAAACGGTCAAAAATATACTCTGTAGGCAAAATTCAAATATTACCTGATGTCGATATATATCGATTCAAGGTTTCCTTGACGACCACACGAGACTTGGTACATTTCATAAGCAATGGCATCCCTTTAACCATTTGAAGTCGAAGCTCGTCTGAATTATATTTAATAATTCAGTCCGTACCGCGAAGAAAACACAACTCTTCAACATTACAAATGTCAACTGGTTAACGCTGTTTAAGGAAATAATCGCTGTTTATAGTGAGAATCGTACGAAACCCATTCGTGCAAAATGTTGTTTCTGACTACTAAAGCAAGAGGTACATATAATTACCACTGGGATTTATATGTTCAATGAACTTTCAAAGCAATATTTAGAGTACGACACTTAACTTTTGTTTAAAATCTCCGGCCTACATCGAAAAGCGGAAGGCTTATTATTAGATTATTATGAATTTTAATGTTTATATGTCATTTCCGGTTCTGCTGTAATCTCTATAAATTTCGTAATTTCGCCATGTCGTAATTTTCAGCTGACGATGATATTTGTAGCTGTGACTTTTCGAATATCAAGATTTCAACGCCTAATTGAAACAGTGAAGGCAATGGACCAAAACGTCACGCTGTGAGGAGGCGTGGGGGTATGGAGGAAAATCTCTCATGTATTTTATAACTCGACACTAAATGATGTGAGTGCTAACTTAAGAGATCTTATTGTAAAGAGAGAAATGAAAAGACTGCACAACTTAATTCATTGTTGATTCGTTCGAATTTGCCTCCGTTGGACTCGTTTCAGCTGTGAATCCACTTAACTTAATTCAGTGTTCCTGCGTCTCAGATCTGTATTCTGGGCACCGCGTTTCCATGCACTTACTTATGAAGATCACGAACTGATGAAGTCACAGCGTACGAAATCGAGACTGGTTAATCCATTAACCATGAACGATGTGCGTTACAGCAGCAAGATAAGTATTTTCAAGAAATGCATTGCTTAAACAGTTCCCAGATCGCTAACAAGACGTTGCTTACACAAAAAGTTAGTTCCCCCTGCCGTAACGATGACTCGCTCTTTCGTAACCTCAGTTTGATCTTAACAGACGCGTTAAGATAAGGCGACGTAATTTTATTTTCAACCAAAATATGCGATCCGAAATTCTGCGAACAACGTAGTAAGATTTTTGTAATTAAGTCTCTGAAACCGAGTGCTAAGAATATATATACCTCTTGATTTAACAGTTTGTAACTCTTGGTTGTCATTTGATTAACAGAGCTTTGACGCTGATGCCCGCTTTTGAATGTTCCAACCTTGAGCTGAGACTGGTATTTATTTAATATTACAGTTTGCATTTGTTCGAGAGAAGAAAACGCTGGATTAGCCAACGCCTGACACTCTTCTAGCAACTGTCAGCGTTCCCACAACCCGAACAAATTGCAAGGTAGAGCCGTAGCATGGTCACCGAACTGCGTGCCTCGATCTTGCGATAATAATCGAAAAGAAAACAAAAGATTGTTTTAGTTTGCCTAAAATATGTGTTTAGCTTAGGTTGCCATGGAGATAAAGTACGTTATCGTTACGACCCACGCGTTTTTACACCGGGATGAATTTTGTAACCCTGGATGAGGAAAGGGGGTGAGAAAATGAACCAGTTCCGTGAAGTTCGTGAACGTGGATACGATCGGGTAGCTCAGTCACGATAGAGTGGAGCTATACCTCCACTTCCCCGCACACTTCGTCATGACGTGTTGCTCAGAAAGCACCAGGGAGAATTTTTATCTTGATTATGGTACATCCGATAGCGAGGAATAACAGAAGGCAAATCTAATTCAATATCGCTCTTATAAGGAAGGCGGCGGAGAACTGAAAATCAGGTTCTGACAAGCGTGTGAAGTCTTCTGAATTTAATTTTTTGCTTTTTATGTTAATGATTATTAACAGTGGATCAAAAAGGAGATCGCACTGGAACACAAACTAACTTGCTCCTTCTGCCACTCCACAGATGACATGTGAAGTAGACCCAAAGTCCAGTGAGAGCTGTCATTTCGTTTCATGACTCGGTTTGCTTCCAGTGCTGACCTGAGTCCTGTTTTCTTGCAGACGAGCGAATTAGACGCTTACCTGTGCAAACAGGAGCTGGAGCGACTCCAGCGCCTTGAGGAGGCGGCGGCGGCTGCAGAAGCTGCAGAGCTGGAGATCAAACCGCGTCGCGAGTCGGCGTCGCAGATCGACGACTTCTTCGAGGCGCCAGCAGCTCCGCACCACCCGGCTCGTCATCACCATCACCACCACCACCACCACGCCAACAGCATGAGCTACGTGTCAATGCGAACAGTGCCGGGCCCACACGCGGAAGATGACGTCTTCCTCAAACCTCCGCTCTGGGAGGACATCACGTCCAGCATCCAGAAGCTGGACCCGGAGAACGCCGAGATGCTGGCCGCCGTAAAGTTGGAGGTGCCCGACGAGGTGGCGTCCTGCGGTTCCCCCTCAAGTCTGCCCCTGATGAACCCACCGGTCATCAAGACCGAGAAGTTACCGCCCCCCCCCCAGCAACCGCCCCTGCAGCCCATGCACCTCATGACAGCGCCTGCTTCCCCGTTCAGCAGCAACGGCCCCCAGCAACAGTTCCCGCCGCAACACGGCTACAAGTTTAGTAACAACGGAAACCTACCGCCCCCCGCCTTCCCCATGTCGAGGCTAGTTTACGTCCCGCCCCCGACACCTCCGATCTCCGAACCTGGGTCTCCGGGAAACAATATTCCCAGAAGAACGCCGCCGCCCCCGTACCCCGCCCCCAACCATCACGGCGCTGTCCCGCCCCCTGTGCCGACGTCAGCGTCTCCGACCGTGACGACGGCGCCGGTCGCCCCCAAGTACAACAGGAGGAACAACCCGGAGCTAGAGAAGAGGAGAATTCACCACTGCGACTTCCTGGGTGAGTTCTCTAAAGTTCCTCTAACTACTGGAAACATGTTTCCTTCTTCGTAACAACAAACAGCAGCACAGCTCCAGATTGACGCGAGTCGTGATGTTGACATGGCCGTCTGTCACCCCCCCCCTCGCACATTAGACCCCAGTCAACCATCTTGCTTCTGTAATCTCTCAGGAGGCAGGGCTCCTCAACCTCTCAGTAACTGGGCCGCGTCTGAAGGATTGACCCTTTGAAGCCAAAACTCGTCTAAATAATATTTAAGAATTCAGTCCGTACCGCGAAGAAAACACGACACTTCACCATTACAGAGATCAACTGGTTAACGCTGTTTAAGAAATAATCGCTCGTTACAGTGAGAATCATAATTCGTCAGATTAATATTTAAAAGACCCAGTCCGTACCGCGAAGAGAACACACCTCTTCACCATTACAAAAAACAACTGGTTAACGCTGTTCAAAGAAATAATCGCTCGTTACAGTGAGAATCATAATTCGTCAGATTAATATTTAAAAGACCCAGTCCGTACCGCGAAGAGAACACACCTCTTCACCATTACAAAAAACAACTGGTTAACGCTGTTCAAAGAAATAATCGCTGTTTATTCTCATAATCATGCATCACTCATGAACAGGCCTGCACTCTGTGGGCAGAATGCAGAACCAGTGGCTGTTTTAGTTTAATTTGTATTTCTTGCAGTTTGTGGGATGTCAAAATGTGCAAGATCCTTCAGTAGTGAGGTAAAGGGCCTTGTCTAGCATACGGGCTACATTTTGTTTACCCCTTGGTATGGCCTGTTTTTTTACGGATGCTGTGGGTTCTGAGACAGAATTAAATTAGGCAACGCAGGAAGCATATTGACAGAGCACTCTGCTGTGTTTGTAGTGTAATCAAGAAATACGCATACGGTCGACGGGGAGGGGGCACCATTGAGGATTCTGACTCCCTGCAGTGACAGCTTTTCTCTTGGTTGCTTCCGATTTACCTAATCCCATGCAACAGAGGCCTTCTCAAGAAGTTGGTCAAGAAATTCATTGCCCATCTCTGAAACCCGTGTTCACAAGAGCTGGCGTATGGACGGTATCCTCAGCCGTCCGAATCTAGTCCACAACACATATTTCACTTTAATATTATCCTGCCATCTTCGCCTATGTCTCCCATATGGACCCATTCCTACCGGTTGCTTGATTTAGAAACCTATGTGAATTTATCATCACCCTAATGCGTGCTACACGTCTCGCCAAACTTATCCGCTGTTTTATATGACTTCAGTAATGTTTGGTGGAGAGAACTAAATGTGCATTTCTTCAAGGTCTGAACTTTCTTCTCATCTCTTATATTCTTTGACGCCTTCGATGCGTGTTCATTGGTCAGTGAGAGGCGAAGATGGTTGCCTTCAGGGATGTTGCTGTGTGTAGTCCCGTAGAAACTGACCGAAGTTTCGGAGGTACTGCCTCCATCATCAGATCGATCGCGTGAAAATGGAGGCAGTGAGCATGTCTGAAACGTCGGTCGCGACATCCCACAAGTCATCTTCATACGCGTCGCCTTCAGAACCTGAAGTCTCGCCTGATGCATCGTTGTGAAAGCAAACATCCCACGACGCGCCTTGTTTCTTGCAGATGGTAGTAGAGTTTCGTGGACAGCCCTGAGGTAGGGTCTTAGTCTCTACGCATAATTGTTTTCCCGCAATGCTGTGTAAATGAAGAAAATTAATTGTACATACTTTCCCATATCCGTTGTACGTGTTAGGAATAAGATGACTCTCCTGCCCTGGCCATCACTAAGTTACACGTGGCCTATTTAGGACTCCACTTCCTACGCGTAACAGAAATGTAGTTAAGTTTTTTCGAGCCCTTTTTAGAAAATCACAATTTTGAGTTGTGACTTCCGTGTGTAGTTCATAATCGCGGGGTATTTATTTATTTAGTGTTCTGTCTGACGACAGGTCCATATGAACAGGATCCTGCCATTCTTTTCTCGGACCGGGACCTGTTCATATACGTTCTTGGCAGATGATCCAGAAGTGTTTTGCCATTGCCTTCTTCTGTGTGTGAATGGAGTAATTGTTGGGATGCCACGGAGAAACCGGGGAAGCCCCCGGAGGAAAACTCCGTGTTGCCTAGACCACGGCCTTGCCCAACACAAGTTATAAATTCGGGCACCGCCGGGAATCGAACCCGAGACCCCAGGATTACAAGGCCAGCGTTCTGACCGCTAGACCACCGTCGGTCAACGCCTGTATGGTACAAGAACTTTTTAGACCAAGCGACAGTTGCTCAGCTGCTCAGAAATCACCTGCTTTTGCACAAAGTTTATTACCGTCTTAACAACAACAGCCCACCCGAAGGCAAGTTCTACCCAGACCACATCTCTACAACCTATTCCTATTTCTATACGGTATCCAGGACTTACTCAGTTTCTTAACCAACGCGAACGGAATTTTTGCGGTGCGCGTACATTTTCTAACTTTTTTATTTCGGATCGAAGTATCTGAACCTTATTCTCGTTAAAACCTCCAAGTAAATCTTCAGTATGTCGTTTGTGATAAACTGGGTTGTGTTTCGGAGGTACATAACATTTCCATCTTCAGGTCTCATCGTTACGTTAATCTTGGACAAGGGATGGATGAGACCCATTGCCAGTGATGGTAGCAGCTGGAATACATTTTCACAACGCGACAGAAATCTTTCAAGCCCGATAAGTGTTCCGTAGCTCTCTGTTTGTCGTTATGTTTATTTACAGTTAATCTAGCAAATAAATAAACACGAGTCCATTTATAACTCGAAACACGTTTTTTACAGAGACCTCTCTCTCTCTCCCATTTATGGAGCTGGCGCCAACAGTCCATTACGCGTAGATTTGAATAACGTAAGAACATTTGAAGTGAATCTCACCTTCGTTTCCTGTACTTAAACGCATATCTGTTTAGGATTTTTTTAAAAATCTTAATCAGCTTTGCAGATGTTACAAGACTAGAACACTTAACTTCGCTTTCATGTGGGTGATCCGTTACAGCCACATCTATTATCGCAGGAAAGATAATTAATTCTCTGCCCCTTATGTAAAGAGACTTAAGTTAAGTACAATTTATCAGTGATTTATTGAAAACTTAGTGAGCCAATGGTCCTTACACGTGCTGCTGCTTCAGGTACATCATTTTACATTCTTGTTCTTTTTTTACAGGTTGCACGAAGGTCTATACGAAAAGCTCTCACCTGAAGGCCCACCAGCGAATACACACGGGTAAGTCAGCGAAAACTTAATTGGCCCTAAGGTCTGCTCGCTATACACGTGACAGAACAGTCGCATATAGGACTAAATCTCGGGTTTCGAACCCATTTCCTTCCGGGCTGCTGTCTACTACACCCAGAAACATGACGTCCTTATAAATACGGTTGCTAGGAAACGTGTTACGTTAATAATATTAGTCCGAATAGAAAAGAAGTTTGACTTGCCTCAGGGCTCCGAAGAATCGGATTAATATATTCTGATTATGTCAGAGCATACTTCATATGAAAAACTGTGTAAGTAATGTTCCCTGATATAAACAAGACCGTTTTAATAACTCATTCTCTGAAGGCACAGTTAACGTGGAAATTATTTCTGAAGCCACATATCAGCCTACATTTTCCCTTTGAAGCCGAAGCTCGTCTAAATGTTTTTTTTTTAATAATCCAGTCCGTACCGCGAAGAAAACACGACACTTCACCATTACAAAGATCGACTGGTTAACGCTGTTTAAGGAAATGATCGCTGTTTATTTTGAGAATCATAGTTCGTCTGAATAGTATTTAAAAAAACTCGGCCCGTACCGCGAAGAAAATACAACTCTTCACCATTGCAAAGATCAACTGGTTAACGCTGTTTAAGGAAATAATCGTTATTTATAGTGAGAATCACTCTTGATTGTTGAAGTAAATGGATTATATAGTAACCATTGACCTCTAAAGGGTAATTATATTTGATTTTAATCAGTTGTTTTTAATACAGATTTGAAACATCACTGTCATTATCTTGGCCATGAGGGCAGTGAATTGTTTTTCGCTCCATCCCGAGCCGTAGGCCCATTGACGAGTGAAATAATTCACGCTGACCAACACAGTTGAGTAGAGAGTGTCTTAGATTGGTCGGGGTCCCAACCTAGCTCATTCTTGTGGGAGGTCTCGTTTGGGGTCTTATGAATTAGCAGTACCCTCGACAGCGTAACGACCGACTACCTCTTGTTGTCAGCATTTCCGGTCGAGTCGAAATGAAAAAAAATTGGATTCTCTCAGTGAGCATTTGCTGTTCACTCTCCAGACTTCAACGTGTATGTAACTGTAACAATGGCATATGGAGTCCAGACGTTTGTAACGTTCAAGTAACGTTTCTTACATGTAAAAATGCCTGATATAGCAAGACTTATAAAGAACTTCATTCCTTCTTTACTTAAAATGCTTTCACTTTAGATGTTGAAGCTAACAATAACTACATCGATAATTATATCAATTAGTTTCGTTGATAATTTCCACTAATACGGTTTTCAACAATGCGAAATTTAGCTAATAACATCGCATCTGAAGACGAAATCAGCCTCTAGAAACAATGACACGCTTGTCATAACAACATTTTGTCACTTATTTTAAATGTTAAATGTTTATTATGCTTTTAACAATGTTACTATTTTCTTAAACGCGTAGTTGCCTATCGTTTTATTAATGATAAAAAATACGACCATTTTACGTGTTTAACTGACAGTTAATAAAACACAAAAACGACGTGAGTTGTCAAGATTGTTGGAATGGTAAAAGATTCACATTGTTACTAGCTCATCTGAGTTAACTCTTCCTCTGATGAAGCTGATATTACATTTAATGATGCAACCGTCCAGAAAAAATGCATGAACTGATATCGGGAATTTTGTAACCTCGGAAATAGGTAAATCGACCACATTTGTGTCACGTCAGACGGCGTGGCCCCTGGTCGGAATGAGCGTTCCGGAACACGAACGTCACGCAAATGAAACTTGACTTGGCTACAGTAAAATTCGGTTGTTTTGTTTGTTGGTTAGTTGATCGGTGATTAATCAGCGGCTGACTCAGCCTGCATTTTAAATACAAACCGTCCGCTGCATCATGTTATTTACGCAGTTTCTCTGCCATGTTGGCGCAGGTTCAACTCAAAAGTCTCTGAAGGCCTTGACTGGAGATCCAGCCTGAGGACACGCGTCAGAACTTCCAAGTCGTTTGTTATACAGCTCTCTCTCTCTCTCTCTCTCTCTCTCCCTGTTTCATCTGTAACTTGCTGTGTAGTTTTTCATCCGAACACCTGCAGATTGGTCCAGACGCTGAGGTCCGCCATTCAATGTCTGGCCGAAAGACAAACCACGGAATAAGTGCGTGTTCAGTAGGGAAAATTAAATCAAGGCGGGTGAGAAATACACAACATCATGAGGAAAGCAGCTTGGCTTATATTGTAGGATAATATTAAAATGGATATCGAATGGGACAAGAGGTGTGCACCGAGTATTGGTCGGGAAGCCTGAGGGAAATAGACCGCTGGGGAGACCTAGACGTAGATGGGAGGATAATCTCAGGCGGGATCTATCGGAGATAGGAGTTGAAAGAGACAGGGTCCGGTGGAGGGCTTTTGTTAATTCGGTGATGAACCTTCGGGTTCGGTAAGCCGTCTAGTTAGTTAGTTATCGAGTATGGGGATGTGGATTGAATTCAGCTGGCTCAGGGTAGTTTCCAGTGACGGTTTCTTGCGAAGACGGTAATGAACCTTGGGTCCCGTGAATAGAGGAGTTTTTTTTAAACTAGATGCGCGACTTTTAAGAAGGAGGGGATTTGGTTTCAGGCGTATTGAAGTCCATGTGCGAATGTAATTGAAATTGGTAATACGCGTGTTAATTTACCGTGAAAGGTGCTTGGACAGGATGACATCATCCGTGAGTCATTCGACATCTTGTCAACCGATTTTCTTTGTACGTTGTTGACATGGATCCCAAAAGCTTGATGGAAGCCTCCAGCTATCTTAGCACTCGATCGTACAAGTACGCGTTGTACATTCACGATGAATGCTTTCGTGATTCACTCGCGATGTGATTTCTCTCGACTTCAAAGGCGTTGTTAAGTATTCTGAAGTTCTTTCGTGTGTACATAGTACTTTGTTCCTGAACATGGCTGTCTTCTGGGATGTACAAATATACCGACGTTTCAGAGGTGCTTGCTGCCTTCATAATTAAGGCTATAGTCCTGATGATGGAGGCAGCAAGAACCTCTGAAATTCTACCAGATTACACTGCGCAACATCCAAGAAGACAGCCACCTACATCTTGGCCGCCTTGAGAACCTGAAGTTACACTCACAAGAAGAGGTGATTAGCAAAACGTCTAGAAGCGTTGGACATTGTGTTCTTAAGTTGAGTAGCAGCTGTGACGGTGTATGAAACGTCGGTCAATTTGATGCCTTCATCTAATTAATTTCACGTCGAAGACTGGAGGTCATGAATCTTTTTATGGGGAGACTTTACACACGTGCGTAATTAATTAATTATACATTCGGGAAGTCGAGTTATTTAGTCTGTGGGTCGGTGAGATAATTAGGTTGGTACGTATTTAACTGTTCAGTTAGTTCGTCTGTCACATAATACACGGGTTTGTTTGTTACTTTGGATTCACGCGCACGTACAGGTCTGCTGATTTCCACACTCTGGTGAAGAAAAAATTAAAGGAGAAGCAACATCACTCGCGAATCAAGGTCAACCTATTTTCTAGGCCGGTGCTCACGCCATTTGCGCAGACACGAACATGGCGTATTCACGAGCACAACTTGCGTTAATTCTCGAACATTACTTAGCATCGAAATCGTTTGCTGATGTTAGTGAAATATTTAGCAGTTCTTATCCTGACAACGAAATGTGAAATATAAAGACGACGATGCACCGACTGATATTTCGGGACATGGGGAAAGTTTGTGACAGCTGAAAGGATTAATTTTTGTACAATTTGAAATTGAGGCGAAATTGAAACATCTAGCGCAGACTTTTTCGTATTTGGGGGGGGGGGGGGGGGGGGGAAAAATATTGTACACCGAGCAGAATTTTTCCATCCGGAAAGTGAATCATGATAATCTGGAACGGGTCACAGTTTTCATGACAAGCGTCATCTTACGTGAGACAGTTCCGCATATATTATATGAGGACGGGTTTATCGTGCATAATGGAAGGATGGCATCACCCCTTCGTGTGAGTCAGAAGGATTACGTCAGGTTGCCGATATGACCCCGGTCCTTAACTTCTGAAGCAGTGGAGCCTGGTATATATAGATCATGCCAGCCGTGGGTCCCAAGACGCGAGG